TGAGGAGGACATTTTTCCATAGGCTCCATGGAGATTTTGCTGCGTGATTCTCACTAATGTGTGTTTACAGTGTCTCTGCCATGGAGATTATAGGCAAATGGTGTTTACAAGCTCTCTTCGTAGTTTATAGAATTGCTGTGCTACATAGCTATTCACTGTGATGTTCAAACTATTTGTTGGAACTGCACCTTTTTAAAAGAAATCTTTGTGGCAAACATAATAATATCAGAAAATAAAGTCAATTCTTCTCTGAGGCAGTTCCTATTATCTTTCCATTTTGAGAAATTATTCTCAGTTCAATTGTATCACCATGGTGATGTGTTCGCATTTCAACAAACCAAACCAAACCAGACCAAAAGTAGAGCTCTGCACGTCTAGCTCCTGTCCAAGACTTTTTTTTATTGCAGTATTCTTATTATCTCCAGTGTCCTGGCTAAAAATCACAACGAAGAAGCAATTTCCTCAGCCAGACACAACACTCTGGGTTGCTAATCTCAGAATTCTAAGAAATCACATAAAAGTGAAAAGGAGAATGGGCATTAAAGGGGCAAAAATGAAATAAAGAACCAACCCGCAAATGAATAGAAATATACTCCTCTAAAATAAGATTGTGGAAGGAGGCAACCGCAGAGAGGGCATTTTGCTTAATGAGAATTGGACATGTGGCTTAGTCCTCTGAGGTCTGAAACAAGTAAACACTCCTAGGGTTGTCAGCATGTACATCCCTCTCTCAAAGCAGAGCTCTTAGACCTGGCTCTTCCGCTCTCTGTTTGTGAAGTTTGTTTTGCTCTTTGGAATAATTGCACAAAGAATCGTGACAACAAAATGAACTCTACAGGAGGTAGGTTTTGAGTTCTTTGAAAATTCCTGCAGTTAGTGCCAATTGGGAGGCAGGAAATAGTTTTGCATAATGCTATTTGCATAAGAAGGAAAGAACACGTCGTTTATTCTAATCAACAAAGTGTGAAAACAAGATTTGGACAGATGTGCACAACCATCTTGTCTCTCCTGCCCAAATATTGTATCAAACCATCTCTTCCCAGGTAACAATTTTGTTAGCCCAAGAACACATCAGCTCAGTCGGACCTGGGCTCTCACTAAGCGTTTTGCTAGCTGCTCTGCTTACTGGTAAATAAGCAGTGTGATTTTGCTTAGCAGCCCCTCTGTGGAAAGACAGCTCATGTCCATACGTGGCGGAGAGGTGGGGACGTGGGGGAGGGGGGCAAGGAAAGCTAGGTATGTGCCTCTCTGTACCTGGTTCCTGACGTCGCAAACTTTATCTGCAATTCTTGGCAGTCCTAGAAGGATGATGAAGAACTAGGGGGAAATTAATGGAAAGGCAAAGAAAAAAGTTTTCAAGATTGTGAGCTGAAACTGTGTGAGAGCTCAACCCAGAGCCAACACAGAAGAATCAAGAGAGAATGAGGACCTTTTTCTCATTAACAATGAGGTAATTATATGAGATAACGTATCCAGGAAGGGACAACTAACAGTGACTTCCTGAAGCGAAACGAAGATTATCTTAAGCCAGACACGAGGGAGCATTCCTCAGTAGTTAAGGACAGCATTAAATCTGGGACTGTCCACATCTGAGAAAAGATTTGAACTTTCACATTAAAAGATAATCATTAACAATCCCTGAGCACTTAGCCAGCAGTGTGTGAAGCTTTTACACACTTATTTAATCTTCCAAACAATCCTGTGAGGTGGATTCTCGATGTCCATTTTATAAAGGAAGAAACTGATGCACAGAGAGGATGAGAAACTTGCCTAAGGTCACCCAGCCACATAGCAGTGGGGGTGGGATGCATCTCAGGCAGTCTACCCTTAAACTCCAACTTCCTAAACACCCTTTTACAAGTGGTAGTGTGCAGTTGCAGGGCTACTGGGGAGGAGAAGCCCAAAGATCACTGGATGATGTGGAAGATAGTGTGTAGTTCCATGTTGAAAAAGTGTTCAGTTAAGGTAACTGTTTTTGTTCTGTTTTAATATCTAGAGGGCAGCAAAAACATGGGTAACCAGAATAATAGATATTGCTAAAACCTTATGTCCACACCTCTTCCTTTTACAGTGAAGTATGGGTACACACATTTACACACACACACACACACACACACAGACACACCACGTAGACATTTGAGTTCTTAAGTCCCTAAAATACCCTAATGATTGAATTTTCCAAGCATTCACTGAGCATCATCCTAGGTTGTCTGCAAGAAACAGCTGAGGCTTGCCTTGGGCGCTGAGGTGAGCGGTGGTGAAATGTTTACCTGGCTGATAAACTCTCCAAGAGATAATGCGCTTTAGACACCATTATTTCGCCTTTGTTACCTAGCTCCCTCCCTGCCACCAAACAGGTCCTGTCCTGTACCAGCATCCCTTCTGTCCACCGCAGGGAGCCCGGGAATGTCTCCAGCTTCCTACGTACTTGCAAGCCCTCCTTTGGCAACCGCAGCCTCATTTGGATTGCAGTTGTATTCACATCCTAATTTATGACTTAACAAGTGTCTCAGAAACATTTAATTTCATTGTGCGTTTGAGGAGGACAGTTTATAGAGGAGGGGGAGAATGATGTTCCCGTTGCCAGCAATTAAATTAATTTAATGATCTATGGTGAAGTCTCCTTTTGGGGCTTGGATTTTCATACGTGTCTATAAACAAAACTAGGCTAGTAATAAATATGTTCCTGGATTCTCAGAGGGGCTCAACTGCCTTCACCAAGTCCTGCTATAATATCCAGGCTGGAAATTCATGGAATGGGTAAGACATTCCCGTGATTCTCAGGTGATTCATCTTGTCATGATACTTTCATGAGAAAAAGAATTGGAATTTTCATTTGCAGTTTCAGCAATATCAGTAAATTATCACTTTTTTTTTCAGATGGCTTTTCTGAAGAGATGAGGAGGGGACTGTATAAAAGCATGGATCAAATAATTTTTCCCCATTCCCACTTTATATACCGAGTGCCCTTTTGGGAGTAAGAGCACATGACTGCTTTTCATAAAGAAGGATTGTATTTCCTTAGGTTTTCCTGTGTATTTTTAGGGACTATATTGATCTCAGAATGGGGGTGTACATAGTGCTGATTTAGATGCATGCAAATAAATGTTCTCCACTATCCCTGTTCTTGTTCGTTGAACCGAGTCCTCCATTTTGTTGTGTTGAACATACCTGGGACCGGGACCCAAGGCAGGTGGGACTGAGTGTTTCTGAGGTGTGAAGAGAGGCGGACAGCATCCTTTCCCCTTTTTCAGCTCCCGCATCCCTGGAACTTTCCAGTAAACAAGCTGCGCCGACGTTTCTCCCATAGTCGGGGAGAAGGGGATGGAAGGGAGGGGAACCTAGTCATCTTCTTGACCAGCATTTCCACAGTTGATCCACGTGGTTGACCTTAGAAGACACTCTCTTGACCATCTCTGTCCTGGGGACACATGGCAGAGGTGTCACTGCTTATGACCGAAGCTTAGGAATTCCTGGACACATTGCACAGTAACAATTTTTTATTCTCCGTCTTCCTTTCCAGAAGGGAAGCAGGACAGCCTGTTGTTCTTCATGGGGGTTAGTCTGGTTGATTTTGTTATGAGGGGGCCGGTGGGGGCGGGACTCTGGCGACTTTGTGTGAGCTGGGAAATTGTGGAGTGACTTGAAGTCTGGTTCTATCAGTAAGCACTGGGCTGGGAGTTAATCACATCAGAATTCTAATCTGGGCCTTGGCTCTAATTAGCAAAATCATTTTATGCTAGTCTCTCAACCCCTCTTGGCTTCTGTTGAAGTGTATGAATGCAAAGGTCTCTGTACGCTCTGAGGTTCTCTGCCTTCTAATTCACCGGAAGGCAATGAATAGAAAACAGAGCACATGGTAAGGATTTCCTATATCCAATGCCCCACATGTGGTGTATTTTTGCAGAAAATCAATCTAGGCGATGTGGAAAGGCCCAGTCACTCTGATGTATGTGGTTTTGGTCGGGCTATGGTGCTAGGGCCCCCTGAGGACAGTTTACATGCCTGTCCTGGGAACTTTGAGAAGACCTTAAGGATTATTCAGCTCAGAGGCAATGCCAGTGTTGTCTTGAATGCGTTCAAGGGGAATACCAGGGAGGTTCCCGGTCCACATCTGGACTCCATTGGCACCATTCCTTTGGGTGACATCTGTCTAATTCCCAATCTAAATGCTTTCATCTCTTGACTGGCTCCTTCAGAAGATGGCCTGAAACGAAGCTGATCATTTTAGACAGTAGCCTGTCATTCTGACTTGGACTCTTGTCTGTCCCCAGTGGATAACACAGCCCGAACACACCGCAGCGCTGGCTCAAACATGTATGTTTTAAAAGAAAAGTATGTTATAAGTGTACAACTTCAGCAGGGAAGGAAGGTGAAGAAGCTAGAGTCTGTCTCAAATGTGTATGGGGGTGACTGTTTTTCTTGTCATCTGAACATTTTAGTCTGTTTCAGGTCAGCTGTTTTTTTGTTTTTGTTTTTGTTTTTTTGTCTTTAGTTTTGTTGTTGTTGTTGTTCTTTTGTTTTTTTCCAACACATTCCCACTGATACAAGGGGAACTAGGCGCCAGGTCCATATCTACCATTGTGGAAAGAGCTCCAAACCTGCACCCTCCAGGAGAAGGGTCAATAATACCACGTGAGAATTGTCAGCAAGCCCTTCTTGGGGAATCATTGTGTTTGTGCTAGTGAGGAAGTTAGAATCAGCATTTGGGCTGCAGTCATGGAACCACACAAAGGACATTCAAGACATGACCTAAGCAGGGTTTCTTGAGCTCCACGAACAGGCTTCATGGGTCTGAGAACCACCTAGAGCATCTGAAAATTTCTGTGTGTGCATTTTTCTAGGAGAGGGCCCATAGCCTTCATCAGAATGTCCCAAAGCTGCCCATGACTGACAAAAGGTGAAAGTCCACTGGCATAATACATTCTTCCTCTGCCTCTGTCTTCTGAATCCAGGGTGATGAAGCTGACTTGCCTATCTTTCTCCTTTGCTGTTCCCAGAAAAAGCAAGTGAGCCAGACCAAGATCCGGGTCATCTCAACCATCCTGTTCATCTTGGCCGGCTGTATTGTATTTGTGACGATTCCCGCTGTCATTTTCAAATATATCGAGGGGTGGACCACCTTGGAGTCCATTTACTTTGTGGTGGTCACCCTCACCACGGTGGGCTTTGGTGATTTTGTGGCAGGTAAGCACCCTGGGCATCCCAGTCACCAGGGCCCCAGCAGGGAAAAGAGGCTGTTGATAATGCTTTTCAAAACCGTGAGAAACCATGTTGTGGGAGAAGCTAATGAAAATGGCTCAGTGTCCCTGCTGCTGTGTGGACTCATTTCAAGCCCACGGTCCCACATAATGTAAAAAGCAGCAGATTCTGCTGTGAAATGAAAGCCAGCCTCTTCCTTACCAGGATGCTCATTGCCCTTATTATTCTATGAATTATGCATGAGTGAAATGAATTTCTCATTGAATGTTGGACTTCTGATTTGCATTAAAGCTCCTTGAATCAATTGATAAAGGCTGTATTAGCAAGTGGCAAATATGAACCTCTGGAGAGATTAGCATAAAGCTTGGCCTGCAGCGACCTGTAGGTTAGAGTTCCTGAGGCTGCCCAGGGGAGGACTGTGTTCCCTGCAAAAGTTATCCCGGGCATGCCCTGACACAAGACTTAGGACTCAGTTGACTACCAGGAGCTGAGAACTGTCCCAAGGGAGTACAATATTATAACGGATTCTGCATGAATATATATGGAAACAATATCCTTCATTGTGAAGATAGATGCCAATGAACTATGTTTATAGAAGCAAAAGGAAACGGCCATCAATTTCACCTAGGGACAGGGAGCCTGAAAATGAAATGAGATCTGGTTTCTTACATGAATGGCTTTCCCAGAATGTAGTAGGAAGGCAGGAAGAGAGGACGCCATCCTTCCCTTTCCTAAGGGATGGTTCTACAGGGTCCGGGGTCCGACAACTGATCATTTTCTACTCTGAGAAGTGAACGCTTTGATTAAACAACTCTGTCCTGAGCTCAAAATGTTTGGGTGATGCATGTGCATTGTGAGTGCGAGTGCGTGTGTGCGTGTGCATGTTCTTGACCAGTTCCTGGTTAAGCAGCAGCCTGAACATTTGCAGGCTGAGCTTGCAGACTGTCCTTTATTTGGCACATGATCCTGGTGCCTTGGTTACTTCATGGAGTATGGCACTCACAAGGGGGAGAGGGATCTGGAAATCTGGAAAACAGGATATTCTGGAGGGGATATTGAGGGCTCTTCAAAAGACGCATGGGTGCGTCCATATTCATTCTGACAGTGATAACCAGGAGGGTGGTCTCCTAGCTGTTCCAACTGGGCAGATGAAGACTGAAGTCCAGTTTGTAAAATAGCAGTTTTTATTTTTTCCTTCCTTTTTCCTGCCTAAGGACTGAGCACTGCAAAGTCAGAGTGATTAAAAAAGCTAGGGGTCTGGGACCCCACCCCAGTGCTCAGCCACTGTGCCTCTCACCTTGTGTGGGGAGTCACCTGGTGCCTTCTGAGCGGAGGCCTGCCGCTCTGGAGGGAAACCACAGAGAACTATTGGGACTATTTCACAAACTTCTTCAAGTTCCCCCAGAGCATAGTTTGCACTGGGTTGTGCTTCAAGAGTGCCCTGTGGCAGCCCTGGGCCATCTGCCGCAGTCTGTTACAGAGGACACTTGCAACGAGCCCTTCTCTCTAAACACCTGCTTGACTCGGCCTGTTAATCTCTTAATCTGGGGGCACAAATAGAGCCTTGGGATATAAAATTTAAAATTTATTTATTTAGTGATCAGCAAAGAGTTTAAATTTTTAATTTGAATTCAGGTTATTTGTTTGCATCTAATTATACCATGTAAGAAAATGCAGGGAAGCTTGTCACTAAAAAAAATAAAAATGATGCCATTTGACAATAACATGATTGAATATTTAAAAGTTTAATGTTATACATTGTGATATTATCTTCTAAAACAAAAACTGTTATAGCCTATTCAAATTAGAGTCAATGTATAACTATCTACTATCTGTTTTGGTTAACATTACTGAAGCCAGGCCTTCATGTTAATTGAGAAGTGATGATGAATCTGTAAAAAAACAATATGACTTACATTTTATAAAACAACATTGATTGAAGGACCAAAAAATAAAAAGTAAAATAAAAGGAGCCCCCGATTTAATGCACATGGATGTTCTCGGTTGGCCTATGCAATGGACTTGATTTAGAGCTTTATTAAAAAGGTGAGGAAAGGTAGCTCTGACTTATTTAGATCTTAGACGAATATAGTTGGCCAACCTAAATGATTTTGCTTATGTTGGTTCTAAGTAAAAAAGTTAAAGATAACCCAGGAAAGGACACATGTGATTTATTTAACACTGTGACGCATAAATGCACGGGAAGTGGGCCCCTGCTCTTCACCATGGACGGGAGAGAAGAAAGGACATCCACATTCTTTACCCTTTCACCCACGAGGACCTCACTTGTTAGGGAGCACTGCCCAGCTGGTTGCTGCTCCTCCTTGGGTGGGGGGGAGCAAGGACAAAATGAGCTGGGACTCTGGTGCTTCAAGGGGTGCTGCCAATGATTTTAATTGATTATTTGTTCTAATTACCCACTGTGGATTGAGGGCATGTAGTACAAACTTGCACTTGACCTTTATCTTTACTTACCTAGAAAGGGCGTGACCTCCACAGTCACAGGCCTGGCCCTGTTTTAATTCCCTTATTTGCTGTTGATTACAGAGCCTGATTTTGTTTGTCCTGAGGTCTCCATGGACAGGTATCTCTTATAATTCACAGTGCTGACTGCAATTAGACCAGGCCCTTCGAAGCTCTGATTTCCAGAGCTTACATAGACTGGTCTGAAGAATGCACGCCTTAAAAGCCTGAAAGTTTGTCACAACCTTTTGGGCAACACTCTAAGAGCAATGGGGAAGGATACCAGATCCTTTAAAAAAAAGGTACATTAAAGAGAGTTGATAATTGCTGTGATTGAACATGGCATCAACCCTTCCAGAAGTATAATTGGAACATTGATCACCATGCAGGATTAAGTGCTGGTTTATTTCGTAGCCGACTCACGTCAGGACAGCCTAACAACATCACAGCATTTTGCATTTTGGAAACCCTGACTGAGAGCGCGCACAGAGCTCTGAATTCCAGACCAGCCATCGATAAAGAGCCGAAGGGTGTTTATTGCGTTGTTCGCTAGCGCCCCCTAGTGACAAGCTTTTTTGGGTGGCGGCGACTTGCTAAGATGATTATTTCCTCTTAGCCCCAAGGAGAAAGCTGCCCCCTTCTCGTGCAGAGACGGAATGAACCGCAAAAACCACGCATTGTGGCAGGAACTCCAGTAGTATCCTAGAGGAAGCTGCGGGGGAGAGTTGCCTAAAGGGGGGGGAGGGGAACAAAGGCAGTTAAACCAGACCGAAGGGGGCAGGCCACACAGCCCATTAGTGGTGTTTGGAATTCTAATTTTAAGAGATGGCAGTGGCCATTTAATTTGGGACCTTGTGGGTTGCACTGGTCTCACTGAGAGGAGCCCCTGGCCACAGTGCCTGCCCAGCTGCGTTTGGGAGGTATTACTGATACCGTAAGAACTCAGTGTGGATTCAGTGGCGCTAGATGAGGTTACAGCCACGACCCAGTGGGAAAGACTAGTAATCACTCATCGCGTAGTCCCATAATTACCCATACATCGCCAATGTCGGTCGTCTTAGAAATGACCGCGGGCCTGCCTCGCTGGGCAACAGTGTCTCACAGAGTGAGAGCCAGGCTGATGTCAGTTACTTCCTCACTTCCTTAGGGAAGGGGCTGGGCTTGGAGCCTGTTTTGCACGGCTACCTTTGGTAGCGCCTGTAGGAGGGCTAGAATAAGTAGGCTAATTATTTGCAATAAATGACTGGTCCTTTTAGCACAACAGCCGGTCAATGCAATCGGGCAGCTGGCCAATTGGATCTGATGGATTTCTACTGTAATCCCTACGTATGAAATAAAGGGATTGGACTCACTGGCCTTTTAGTTCTAGCACGGTGATTCTAATTACTCAGTCTAGTTGACCTTTTGGATTAGCATCATGTAAACACCATCCCTCAGTGTTAAATCACTGCTGCCAGGATCAAAGTCTCAAGAATGCCATTAGGTCTAATTTTACTTCCACACATCCAGTCCGCTCTTAGTAAATGCGTGTGTTAAGGAGGAAATGGTGCCAAGAATTCCAAGCCATTGGGGATTACTGATCTTTTATTTTTATTGCACTTAAAGAACTTTAAGAAGACAATCGACAGCTGGGCCTGATGTCTTGTCTCTAGCTCACGTCATTCATTGTCAAGCCCCGGTTGAGCAGAGGTGGACCAAGTTGGCCACGGACACTTTTTTGTTATGGGTATTATGGTTAGTGGTCAAGAATCAAAGAAGTTAAGCCACGAGTCAGGCTCCTTTAGGGAAGGGACCCATCTTTTCCTTGCCCTCCCTTGCCTGTCGCCTCTTGTATACAGCAGGCCTAACAGCTGAGTATCAGATGGGGATGGGATGACATCTCTGCTACATGGACTAGAATATGTTTGTTCTGCAAAGACCAAATGCTAGACCCTGGTTACAGTAACGTTTGGTTGTTTTCAGGGGGAAACGCCGGCATCAATTACCGGGAGTGGTATAAGCCCCTAGTGTGGTTTTGGATCCTTGTTGGCCTGGCCTACTTTGCAGCTGTCCTCAGTATGATCGGAGACTGGCTACGGGTTCTATCCAAAAAGACGAAAGAAGAGGTAGGACCCCTTCCAAATTCTATAAATGTTTCTGAGATCCGATGAATTCATGTCAAGAATGACCTGTCTCTATTTTATGGGCTGGAGGGTTTCTTAATACGTGGAGGGCCCCTATGGCTTCCTCTTTTTGAATCATTATCTAAAAGCCAAGTTCAGTGGAATAGCGGTTATTTTTGGGTCCTTTTTTGGCAGGTGAGAACATCTGATGACTCATCAGCCCACAGATCCTGGAAGGACTAGTAAACAACGACTTTTTGTTTTTTTATTATTAAAAAAATTTTTTTTTTATCTTTAGAGAGGGAGAGAGAGCCAGCCTGAGTGGGGGGAGGGACAGAGAGAGAGAGAGAGAGAGAGAGAGAGAGAGAGAATCTCAAGCACACTCCCTGCTGAGCCCGGAGCCCAATGCAGGGCTGGATCCCAGGACCCTGAGATTGTGACCTGAGCCGAAACCAAGAGTCGGATGCTTAACCGACTGAACCTCCCAGGCACCCCAGAATGATTTTTAAAAAATAGCAGTGGTCAGCAGGGGTAGACCGTAGTTGAGGGAGGTGTGCAGATATGTGGGAGAGGCTGAGAAAGTTTGTAAAAAGCTTGAGAAGGATGGGGTCTATATGGAAATGCAGTAGAATACAAGGACTCCTTCTCGATTCTCTGAGACTGAAGTCCTCCAACAGTGACCAGCTGTGGGGAAGCGAGCACAAGGGGTCCCTTTTCACCTTTATCCCCTCCTGGTTGTCAGATCTATGGAAACAAAACCAGCCTCATGTCCAGGGACATGCAGCCTTTTCTCCCTTGGGTAAATGTGTGTGAAAACCTACACAAAAGCAAGAAAAGACAGAAGAGGGGAAGGTAGATCTTGTGATTTAAAAAAAAAATGTCCATGTAGTTCTTCTAGGAAGAGAGGAAAAGAACTGAAAAGGAGGGCAAGAGAAGAAGAGGAAAAGAGCTAACAAGTGGAAGGGAGATTAAAAGAAACAAAGAAATAGAAAGAGGGAGAGTCTCCTGGAAGGTGACTGCTCGCTTCCTGGCAGACAGACGTTCTGTATAGAAGGCCCCAGGACAAAGTTGCCGAATGGGAACATTTCCCATCTCATTCCCGGGCCCCAGGGTTAATTTTCCTGGCTTAGAAAAACACTGGCAATGCAATCCCGTCAATGCAATCTCCAGTTTGGTTCCCCCGATGGCTAACTGACCTGCTGAAAGTCAGCTGTAGTGAAAGAGAAAGTTAACTATATAAATATCGACTTTCCTAAACGCAAAAATGCAGACTTCTGAGTGGCTCGTCTGTATAGAAAACACGGGGCTAGTGCTGTTGGCCGTGCTGGATGAGAGCCAAGAAACCTGATATCGATCCTCATGCATTCTGAGGAGGAATGTTCTGTGGGCTTTCGCAAACATGACCAGGGAAGTTTGGCTCCCAGATGCCCTGGAGGGTCTTCTTAAAGCAGGGTAAGCCGGATGGCACTCGACCGTAGTGTGGCCCAGATTCAGGGTGAGCAACACTCCCAGTTTGCCCAGGACTGCAGGGGTACCTAAGACACAGGACGTTCTGTTCCACAACCAGGACAGTCCCCGTCTAACTGGGACGGGTTGTTCACCCTACGCAGACAGAAGCATTGGAGGAACAGAGAAGGGCCAAGGCCAGGTTGCACCTCTGCTTTGTGCCCGAGTGCATGTCTCTGTCTCGCGTAACACTAAGAACTCCATGAGCTTGATATGATCACCCCAGTTACGCCGGAGGAATGAGGCCATACAACTAAAAAAGGGGTGGACGCATAATGTGAACCCAAGCCTGGCCAACTCTAGATAGCGACCTCTGCCGCAGAATGCCGTCCTCCTCCCATTCGGTCACCACCTCCACATCTCAGGCTCCTGCCGGGTTCTCTAGCAGGAGTGCCCCCCGAGCCACAGGAGCCAATTTGAGATGGGTCTTTAGGGCAGAGGTAGCATCCCCACCCGGGCATGGGCTCCCCTACCCCCTGGCCTCCCCGGAGCCAGCCTTCCCATCGGGACACTCAAGGGCTGTGGGCGCCGGGAGGGCTGGGGGGCCCGAGGCAGGGACAACTTTCTCAGCGTGCCCTTGCTCTCCTGTCTCCCGGCCAGGTCGGTGAAATCAAGGCCCACGCGGCCGAGTGGAAGGCCAACGTGACGGCCGAGTTCCGAGAGACGCGGCGGCGGCTCAGCGTGGAGATCCACGACAAGCTGCAGCGGGCGGCCACCATCCGCAGCATGGAGCGCCGGCGCCTGGGCCTGGACCAAAGGGCCCACTCGCTGGACATGCTCTCCCCAGAGAAGCGCTCTGTCTTCGCCGCTCTGGACACGGGCCGCTTCAAGGCCTCATCCCAGGAGAGCATCAACAACCGGCCCAACAACCTGCGCCTCAAGGGTTCCGAGCAGCTGAACAAACACGGGCAGGGGGCCTCCGAGGACAACATCATCAACAAGTTTGGGTCCACCTCCAAACTCACCAAGAGGAAAAACAAGGACCTCAAAAAGACCTTGCCCGAGGACGTTCACAAAATCTACAAGACCTTCCGGAATTACTCCCTGGACGAAGAGAAGAAGGAGGAGGAGACGGAGAAGATGTGTAACTCGGACCACTCCAGCACCGCCATGCTGACCGAGTGCGTCCAGCAGCAGGCCGGGATGGAGAACGGAATGGTCCCCACGGACACCAAAGACAGGGAACTTGAGAACAATGCATTACTTGAAGACAGAAACTAAATGCTGAGGACCTAGGACTTGACCAAGCGTTTTGTGTGTGTGTGTATGTGTGTTTTTTTTTTTATATTCACCCTGAGACACGTGCCTTAAACAGACTTCTCGTTAGTCCGAAATTACATAGCATTGAAGACTATATTTCACTGTGCCATAAACGATGGAGAAAGATCGCTCTGCCAAAAGGAATCAAAGAATAACGACCGCACTTCCGACAGGGACCGCGGGACACGCCGGGAGCGTTCGCACACGCAAGAGGTCGTGGCCACAAAAGTTAAGGGCAGGTGTGGGACGGCGCTGTGCCCCCAGTGTGGCGCCGCCCAGGCCTGGCGTGGAGAAAGGGCAGCTATTCCTTAGACCAGCCTTCTGGAAGGAACTGGTGTGTCTTTTACATGGAGCCTCGTTTCCTGACCCTACCGTTAGAGATATGCACACACACAGAAGGGAACCGGATGGGGGATGAACTAGTACCTGCAATGAGGGTTCGAGCTGACATTGTGGCATGTTGCTCTGAGCTTGAATTTTGATACACATCCTTCAGTGCACACCTAGTCTTTCTAAGCTCCAAATGAGTGTCCATGGGACCCGGGAGCACGTGGAATTCGTGGGAAACAGATCAGAGCACACGTATTAAAAGGTGCAATTGCTTTCCTCATTACAAAAGAAAAAAAAATCACAAATGCATCTCACTGTGGATATCACCTTAACCAATGACAGAAGCCTACTGAATTTTGTCTATCGACAAATGACAAATGAACTTGCAAGCATTGGCGAAAACTCAACCTCATTCGCTGCATGGTTACAGGCAAAAATCATGCATTTTCCTCAGTGGGTGCAGTGGTGAAAATAAACTGGTTTTGAAATGTCCATGTTCACTTTTCTAGTGGAACTTCGGTTATAACTTGTTTTGATAAGAGGGGGAAAAATACCAAAATGGTTGCCTTGCATGATGCCAGTGGCTTGCTGTTCTGTCTAGCTGATCCTAAATTTTTATAAAAATAGACATCCTGCATGTCTGAGACATACCAAGGAGGACCATGGCATCATTCCATCTCAGGGCTTTTTGTCCCTTTGGGTGTCTTACGGTAGACATAGTGACGAGGTCCAATCTTGCTATCTCCAAACAAAAGAAAAAAATCCCCCAACCAACTCTTGTACAAGAAAATTGAATTGTTTTAATTGCTTGCAGCTTAAGTGCCATTAATGCCATTTAAAAACTAATGCTTAAAAGAAGTATTTACAACATTCCACTTTTATGTTTGGGTGTTCCTTATTTTGAAAGCATCACTTCTTTTCCTTGCTTGTTTCTTTGTCTCGAACCTGCTATTCCCTAAAATTGGAAGACCAGCATGATTGTTCCAAGGCCAACAATAGCAACACTATTGTTTCAGGAGGTTAGAACGGTCAGTGAAGGAAAGTGGGGGAGGGGCTAGTCAAGTTTGGAGAAGATTTTAAATGGATTTTTTAATCAGAGAGGGCAAAATAGGTGCTAGGCTCACCATCCTGTGTGTGCCTCAGTCCCTTGCATAGTTGGCTGGCTATCGATGGTTCAGACGTAGCTGTTTGGACCACGCTCTTAAGCATATGGACCTGGCAACCCCAGGAAGTTGCTAGTGATGCCCCCCCCAACCCGGGCTCAGCGCCACCTTTTGGAGATTTCACAAGATGAACACACAGAGTGGATTTATCGAAAGATCACAAGACTAGCAGAGACTTCCTGAAATAATCTAACGCTTTCTGACTTCTGGGGAAAATTATACCCACCACATCCTTGACCGGTGGTACCAGGGCAGACCTCTTCCTGCCCGTTTCCCAAAAATGCACAGCTCTCCCTCGCCTGGAGCGCACGTGGCTCCGCCTTCCCTTCCCCCAACCTCCTAGGCTCTAGCGAGAGTTCTGGCATTGCCTTTGAGAAGGAGCCAAATAAGAATCAGCTTTCACGAGGCCCTTCCTGTCCACTGTAGATTTGGTTTAACACCTCCACTGGGCTGGAGCCATGGCTCACTGGTGACATCCTGTGTCCACATATTAACAGACGCGGCATATTAACAGACGCGGAAACGATGCTTATGCAGGTGCGGGCACTGCTCTTACTGTGAGAGTCTTTCCAGCCTGACAAGATGTGTTTTGAGTGGTAGATATCTGGGACTTTCTCTATTCTTCTGACAAGTTAAAAGCATCCCGATTAAACTATCCATTGATCTCATTCGTTTGCGTTTCTGCCCTGTATTACTCGTTACCTTCTTTATAGTCATGTGTTAAAAATTCTAGACCCTACAGACAAATCTGGCCGAGGGGCTTCCTTGTTATTTATCCAGTGGTTTCCCTGGGCCAAGCACTAGATCAGGCACTTTATGGGTGTTAGCTCACTGAAACCTCATAGCAGCCCTCTACGGGAAGTGTTGGCAAACCCATTACACAGATGAGGACATGGAGGCTCAGGGAAGCTGAGTAACTTACCCAATGGCACACAGCAAGAAGGTGGTAGAGCTGGTATTCAAAGGCTGTCTGACCAAAGTCTGCTTTTGACTTTGCTATAATGTCCATGTCATGCACTCTTGTGCGTGTGTGTGTGGTATGTGTATGTGTGTGTTTGTGTGCATGTGTGTCTTTTTAGTTTCATGGACACGACATACAGAGGTGGGGAGAAGATCTCTATTACCAAGAGGGTATGAAGTCTTTGTGTAAACATGACCTAAAGTGTTACCCTTACAGACAATTATACCTTATTTCGGTTTGGGTTTTGGGAATGCTGTATGGCGCCCTTTCTGTATTGTTAAAAATGTCCTTTGAAAGCACTCTTTTGCACTTTACTTGCTTACCTTGCAGGAACTCCGTATACAGCAGGAATAAAACAATTCAAAGCACTAAGCTGCACATTCTACCAAATGGAACAGGTGGTGTGTGCATAGACGCTTCCCCAAAGGAGTCAAATCACAGTAATACAGAGGAATCAAAAATAGCCCTTGGCTGAGAGTGGGAAAATATCCAATATAACCTGTTCCCTGAGTACAGAGGGGGCCAAAGCCCTGACGAATGAAATCCAAGAAGAGCCCTCCCTCTATGGAGATTGATCCATTAAATATGTGGGAAGTATTGGACAAACTATAACATACTCTCCAAAGGAGAAGCTGAGAAGGAATACGAGCTTGGACTCCTCTTAATGTGTACAAGCTAAGATTTGGGGGGAGTCCAGTTGTTATGAAGTTGTGTGAATGGTACCCTTTTAAGATGGGGCCAAATAACACATAGCAAATAGCACGTGGCAAAGCTGCTGCAAATTCTAAATGCACATCAGCACAGCCCTGCCCCTAAACACACATCCGCACCCTGCCATAAACCTGGAATCAATGCCTTGATTTTGCGCACAGGAAGAGCACATGTTCCGTATCTTCAGTGGGTGGTGGTGTCTCTTGCTTCACCTGGTAATTGGGTACCCATTTTTTCTTCCCTAATAGATCTGGAGGTTTACTGGGGACAGCTGGGGGACCATTTGGAGACTGTAGCTCCATACCCAGTCCTAACCCAATAGTGAACTTAGAAACTTACCACTTTTAGGGTAGGGCCCTGACATGTGTGTGGCTAGGAGTGTCCCTGGCCTACAGGTGAGGCAACAGGGACTATTTGTCCGTGCTTCCCTGTCCCAGCCTGTGAGCGTGGGCACCTCGGTCCCTAAGCTTCTCTGTTACCTCATCGGCACACCAAGGGAGTTGAACACAGATAATCATCAAGGTCCCTTTTAGTTCTGCAATTCTCTGACCAAATCTCCCCTGGTCTATGAGTTTGTGAAATTCATTAAGAACAGTATTAGCTGGGTTTGTGTATACTGACTAGCGGGCCCCCTCATTTTAGGCTAAGAGGAGAGCTTAGTCTCCTGCCCTTTGGGATTTGCTTTCTGGTAATTAATGGAGACCAGATGTATTTGGGAGCCTGGTGTCCAAATTAGAATCGTGCCCTGTGTAGGCTCACACTATCTTCCCTTACAGCACACGGTCACCCAGAGGGCTCAGGCTACACGGGCATTTTTTGCATGGTGTTAAGACTATTTAAAGAATTTTAAGCTGTTGCTATTTGCAGTCAATTGTGGTAAAGTTTCCCTTTGATTACTTCATGAATTCATATATTATAGACAGATATGTCTCACACACACACACACACACACACACACACACACACACTGGAAATGGCTGCTCTGGGTTCCATGGGGACCATTCGATGTTGAAAGTCCTAGTTGTGCTAGACATTAGCAAACCACCCCCTTACCTCCCTGAGAGGATGTCATTTCCTGGCTGAGTCAATGCTGCTCATCTATTTGTGTGCTTGGTTTTGGGGACTAGTGAGAATGTGGCCAGAATCTGGGTGGGGCAGATTTATACTCATTGGATTGGGTAAGAATGTAGACCATCCAATGTATACCATGGTTTCTGAACCACAGGTAAGGCAGAGGACAACAAACAAATGTGCAGAGACTCTCTAAAAAAATGAGGAAAAAACCCAGGATTGCTTTTCCGGTCTCTGCTTTCTGCATGCCGCTAAGGTTTCAAGAGGAGGTTTATTATTTCTGCCACGACGCAACTGTGTGCGAAGACCGTGGCTGCTTCAGCACTGGTATAGTGTAAGAGCTAGTTGGCGATGGCCTTAAAAGATAAAAACGGGAACTCTCTGAAACAAAGGTGACTTGAATTTGGCATTGGAGATGCTGTTAATTCTACATACGGAAACTTGGGAATAGCATGTTGATTACATGGCTCTAAATAAAGCCCTGCACTCTGCCCTTGCAGGATAAACCAGCAGCCATCCATGGAAACCTCAGTCCTCCCGCGGCCGTCCCTAGGTCACGTGACATCAGCACAGTGGCATTGAGGAGACATAGGAAGTGTCTCTGATTTTACAGAAAGTGATGATCCTTTTCACAGGTGCCTAAGAGATTTGAAATCTACCTTCTGTTACTGGTTCTTAAGTGAAAAACCTCAAATAGTTCCCTGTGCATTAAAAAAAACAAAAAAAACCAAAAACATCCTTGAGAGGACTCAGCTCCGT